CTCTCTTTCTCTCTATTTTAAAGATTTATTTACTTGAAAGTCAGAGTTACACAGAGAAGGAGAGGCAGAGAGAGAGGTCTTCCATCCTCTGGTTCACCCCCCAATTGGCTGCAATGGTTGGGGCTGTGCCGATCCAAAGCCAAGAACCAGGAGCCTCCTTTCGATTACCCTCATGGGTGCAGGGGCCCAATGTCTTGGGCCATCTTCCATCGCTTTCCTGGGCCATAGCAGAGAGCTAGATGGGAAATGGAGCAGCCGGTACTTGAACCGGTGCCCATATGGGAATCGGCACTGCAGGCTGTGGCTTTACCAGCTATGCCACAGCACCAGCCCCTCTAATAGTCTCTTAGTGGTATCTGTTTGGTTCCCCCATCTAAAGGATCATGCTATCTACAAACAGGGATAATTTTACTTCCTCTTTTCCAATTTGTATCCCCTAAATTTACTTTTCTTGCCTGATGACTCTGGCTAAGACTTCCAGAACTATATTGAATAGCATTTCTGAAAGTAGACATCCTTGTCTAGTTGCAGATCTTGGTGGAAATGCTTTTGTATTTTACCCATTCAGTGTGATGCTGGTTGTGGTTTTGTCATATATTGCCTTAATTCAGTTCAGATAGGTTTCTTATATACCCACATTTTAAAGATTTTTTTTTAATCATGAAAGGAAATTGTATTTTGTCAGATGCTTTCTCTACATATTGAAATAATCATATGGATTTTATCACTCATTTTGTTGATGTGATGTACCTTGTTTTGTGATCCCTGTATCTCTAGGATAAATCCTATTTGGTCTGGGTAGGTGATCTTTTTGATGTATTATCAGATTCAATTTACTAGTATTTTCTCGACAATTTCTATGTCTGTTCATCAGAGATATTGGTCTATGGTTCTCTACTCTTTTTTTGTTGTATATTTCTCTGTTTTTGGAATTGAGATAATTGTGACGTCATAGAAAAAAGTTTGAAAGATTCATTCTCTTTCTGTTGTTTTGAATAGTTTAAGAAGAATTGGGATTAGTTCTTCCTTGAAAGTTTGGTAGAATTCAGTCCTGGGTTTTTCTTTGTTGAGAGGCTCTTTATTACTGATCTCAATCTCAGTCTTGGTCATTGGATTTTTTAGGTTTTTTATGTCTTTCCGTCTCAATTTTGATAAGTTGTGTTTCTAGAGTATATCCATTTCTTCTGGATTCTCCAGTTCATTGACATATAACAATTTGTACCAATTACTAATGATTCTTTGTAGTTCCATAGTATCAGTTGTAATACTACCTTTTTATCTCTGATTTTATTAAATTGGGTCTTTTCCTTATTTTTTTGGTCAGTTTGGCTAATTCTTTATCCATTTTGTTTATCTTTTTGAAAGATTTTCTATTTTGTTAATTTCTTTAATTTTTATTATTTTTTCCCTTTTACTGATCTTTGGGTATGGCTTGCACTTATTTTTCTAGGCCCTTTAGATGCATTGTTATGTCATTTGAGTGATACCATTCCGATTTCTTGATATAGGCACTTATTACTATAAACATTCCCCTTAACACTGATGTTATATGCCATAAGTTTTGATATGTTGCGTTTTCATTTTCATTCACTCCAGGTATTTTTTGGTTCTTCAATGACCCATTGTTATTCAAGATCATGTTACTCAGTCTCCATGTGCTTGTATTAGAGTTTCTTTTGTTAATTTCCGGGATCATTCCATTGTAGTCAGAAAAGATACGTTATGATTTCATTTTTTAAAATTTGTTGAGACTTGCTTTACGTCCTAGTGTATGGTCTATCTTTAAAGAATGTTCCATGCACTGATGTAAAGAATATGTATTTGGCAACTATGAGATGGAATGTGCTGTAGTTATCAACTAAGTCCACTTGTTCTGTAGCATAGATTAGCTCTGTTATTTATTGATTTGTTTGCTTGATCTGTCCATTGATGAAAGTGGAGTATTAAAGTCCCCCATTATTATTGTACTGGGGCTTATGTCTCCATTTATATCCATTAATATGTGTGTTATAAAACTGGGTGCCCTAGCATTGGGTGCACATGCATTTACTATAGTTACATCTTCTTGTTTAATTGATTCCTCAGTCAGTACATGATGACCTTCTTTGGCTCTTTTAACCATTTTTGTCTTAAAGTCTATATTGTCTAATATGAATACACCTACACCTGCTTGCTTTTGATTTCCATTTGCATAGAATATCTTTTCCATTCTTTCATTTTCAGTGTCTGCATCTTTGGTGAAGTGTGTTTCTTTAGGCAGCATATAAATGGATCTTCTATTATTATACATTCAGCCAGTCTGTATCTTTTAATTGGAGAGTTTACTCCATTGCATTCCAGGTTAATATTGACAAATAATGACTGGATCCTGCCATTTTTCTTTGAATATTCCTATTGTTTGTTTTGAATCTCCTTTGCTCTTTTACTGGAGGTCTTTTGCCCTCACGTTCTTTGATGATGCTGGTTATCTACTATGTTTTTGTGTAGTACATCTTTAAATATCTTTTGTAAGACTGGGTGATGAAGATTATTTCAATTCTTGCTTATCACCTTCACTTATGCATGAGAACTTTTGTTGGGTAAAGTATTCTGGTCTGGTACTTTTTTTCTTTGATTAGTACTTGTACTGTATCTCTCCATTCTTGCCTGCCCTGTATGATTTATGTTGAGAAATTACCAATCTCATTGGATTCATTTAGAGGTGATCTGGCATTTCTGTTTCGCGAATTTTAGAATATTCTCTCTGTTTTACTTTTGAAACTTTGAACATAATTTGCTGTGGGTAGGATCTTTTCTGATGAAGCCTATTTTGGGTTCTATGTACTTCCTATAATTGGATATCCATATCATTCCGAAGAAGGGAATATTTTCGCTATTATTTTACTGGATAGGTTTTCTAAGTCATTTTTTTCCCGTATCTTTAGGAATTCATATGCAACTTACATATTTGATAATTTGATGGTATGCCATAGATCCCAAACACTGTTATGGTCTAATTTCTTATTTTTCTTCCTTCTCCACCTCCTCTTCGTCCTCACCATTCCCCTCCCCTCCCCTCTCCCTCTCTCTCATCCTCTTCTTTTTTTTTTTTTTTTTGTCTGACAGATATTCGAAAAGACCCGTCTTGTACATCTTTTTTTTTTTTCTTTTTTTGATAGGCAGAGTTAGACAGTGAGAGAGAGAGACAGAAAGAAATGTCTTCCTTCCTTTGGTTCATGGCCACTATGGCTGGCGTGCTGCGCCGATCCGAAGCCAGGAGCCAAGTGCTTCCTCCTGGTCTCCCATGCAGGTGCAGGGCCCAAGCACTTGGGCCATCCTCCACTGCCTTCCCGGGTCACAGCAGAGAGGTGGACTGGAAGAGGAGCAACCGGGACAGAACCGGTGCCCCAACCGGGACTAGAACCTGGGGTGCTGGTGCTACAGGCGGAGGATTAGCGGCACCGGCCACTGTAGAACTTCTTACTTTGGACTCACCAAGTCTTCTATTGTTAAAGCTTTCCACTATGTTTTTTGCTTCATCTTTAATATTTCTGATCTTTGCAGAATTTCTTGTCCATGTCATATACTGATTTTCTTATTTCCTTTAAATATTTCTCTGTGATTTTGTGTAACCTTACAGTCATTCTTTCAAATTCTTTTTCAGGTGTTTCAACAATATCCCTTCTTTACAGTCCAATCTTAATGTATTACTGTGTCCATCTGGGAAGTCCTATTGCCTTCCTTGTTCAAGTTTCATGTGTTTCTACATTGATTTTCTCACATTTTGGAGATCTCTTGTTATTATCTCCTTTGGAAGATTTATTTTAAAGCTTTGTTTTTATTTATTTGAAAAGCAGTTAGGGAGAGATCAAGCTCCTCCATTTGCTGGTTAACTACTCAAATGGCTACAATATCCAGGGCTTGGCCAGGCTGGAGCCAGGAGCCTCATCCAGGTCTCCCACATGTGCTTTCCCAGGCATATTTGCAGGGAGATGGATAAGAAGTGGAACATCCAGGACTTGAACAGGTGCCCATATGGATTCCAGCATCGTGGGCAGTGGCTTGACCCGTTATGGCAGAACACTGGCCCCAGATTGTCTTTTGATTTTTTTTTTTTTTTGAATGAATGTTGGTTTCTTAAGGCTTACAGTTGAGTTCCAAGGTGTGTGCTTCTTGGGGCCATGGAGCTCAATCCACAATTAGTGGGTGGGTCAAGACTGCAAAGGGGACCCAAGATCCACATGGTGGAGTACTTCTAGCTACAGTCAGTGGTGGGAGGGGATGTTGGAGCAAGCTAGTATGTTCACATTCCCAGTCCTTCTCTGTGCCAATGTGAAGCAACTGATTCAGAGCCTAAAGTGAGATCATGGTGGCAATGCCCCTAACCCATCCAGGCACATGTGTTGTCCAGAGCAGAGTCCCATTCCACAATATGTCCCCTACCCCTTTGCAAGTCTCTCTAATCAGTCTGGGTGGATGCACAGTAACCTAGCTGCGACCCACGGCCTTTTCAAATTTGTGGCCTATGACAATAACTCCCATAGTCACGGGAGTCTGCTTTCCATCCTGCAAGCTGCTCAGACCTGGTCCCAGCGGATCCTGGTATCAGCAGGACTACCTGCTATGCTCCAGTCAGGACAGAGTTCAGCTGTAACTCCACCACAGCAAACTGAGGCTGGTACTTTGATGGGGTGGATGGGAGGAAGGCAATGTAGCCTCCCTTCATAGAGCAAACTAGTTACCCAGATCCCTGCCACTTCCCCAGGCTGCCCTCAAAGCTGGTGGGAATTCTGGAATTCTTCCTCAGAAAGCTGCCAGTGGCAGGGGCCACAGCAGGTGCCTCTCAACTTACCCAGCCAAAATGTCACTTTGTGCCTTTAGCTGGCTGCGTAGGTGCAGGAGTGGCTGCCGGGGAATTTATATACTGCTTAAAGGGTATATTAACGACTTCACAACAATATAATCTACTGTTAGCACTTCAAATATAAGAAAATTAATAGATTGTTTTCTTTTTTTTCTAGGAAATACAAAAGACATCATAATCCTGTATGAGGAAGATGCAGAGGAATGGGCTCTGTACTTGAGGGAAGTTTTCTCGCATGTTGTGAAAACGGAAGCAATCCTCTTATATCGTTTGGAGAGTTTCTCCCTCTGGCATTTGGAATTAATGAGCTTAAATTCTTACAAATGTAAACTTTTGATATTATCAAACAGCCTGCTTAAAGACCTAACCCCAAAGAAATGTCAGTTTCTGGAAAAGGTACTTCATTCTCCTGAAAGTGTAGTGACTCTGCTTTGTGGAGTGAAGACTTCAGATCAGCTCTATAAATTATTAAATATCTCTGGAAGCAAATGGGAGGTCTCAACTGCACAGGAGCCTGAAGACTACATCTCTGTGATCGAGAGTGTCCTATTCAGAGGTAGTGTTGCACGTTTTCTCTTTTTTAAAGCAATGAAAATTTGATATTAGGATAAAAGAAAGAAATAAAAGCCAATTCGATTTAACAGTATGTTGTACTTTTCACAAAATGCATTAGGGTTCTTACATTTTAGCTTGATGCCAGTCAAGGCGTCTCACTTGTTCTGAAAATGGTTTATAAAGGTATTTCTTTGGGAAGACTGAGACCATGGTGGAACAAGTATGGTATACTTTCCCAATATCCAGGTTGATACTGGAAGCTGGATTCTTATTTAACTGAGGCTTGAGATTCTACCCTATAATTATTACCAGTCAGCAGGAGTTCAAAGTTACAATTATAGAGTATCAGTTGTGCTGATAACTGTATGATATCTATTATTAGGGTATGAAATACTGTCATTTTTATTCATTTTAAATAACAACTTTAATTTTAAGCATATAATCATTATGCAAAAAATCAGAACGCAAGGGTCCCATATACTAATCAAAACTCCGACATGTACAATTGTTGAAACTTCTCTCCAATGCACTTCTATTTTGTATATATGCAGGGAGTGTTGTGGTCAGCCCTTGCCTGGTTTTCTCAGCCTGTACTTTGCCTTCATCTCTGTCTTGAGCTAGGAAAGAGATGGCACAATTATTTATATAGGCCATGTTAATTATTAAAAATTAGCTCAATTTCTTGGAGCATGTGTCTGAGTTCTGCAGTTCCTTGGTGAGAGGAGTGATCCCTTTGATTATGGTTGTTCAACCTATACATTGTTTTGTCCTATGGCTTTCTCATGGTGAAAATCACCCTAACATAGCTCCTGGATGGGAATTCTCACATCTTTTGTCCTGATGCACTCTGGTCATCCAAACCATTCCCAGCATAGCAACCACCATCCTGCTCTCAGAGCAGCAACACATTCATAGTTACTTGTCTTTAGTTGTTTCTGAACATGAGCCAAGCACAAGTGATGGTTAGGGCAGGTGTTCTGGTGCAACCAGCAAAGCTGGTACATTTTGTGCCCTTTATCCCACATCCGAGTGCTGTTTTGAGTCCCAGATCTTCTGTTTCCAACCTGGCTTCCTGCTGATGCATCCAGGGAAGCTTTAGAACAAGTGCTTGAGTCCCTGCCACCGATGTGGGAGAACCATAGGGAGTTCCTGGCTTCAACCTGACCTGGTCCTGGCTTCTACTCAAAAATAAATAAATAAGCAGATGGAAATAAATAAGCAGATGGAAAATATCTTTCTCCCTCTCCCTCCATCCCTACTTCCCTCCCTCTGGCTCCTCCTCCACACTCACATGTGCCTTCCCCTTTCTTCCTAACCCCCTGGCTCTCTGACTCTCAATTAAATGAAATTAAATAAATAAAAACTTTAAATAAATAAATCCAGGGAAACATACCAATTCCAAATAATTTGCTGGAAATTCCTCTCACTACACTTGAAGGAGTTAATATCCCTCAATCTTCATTTATGGGAAAGCAACTCTCTTTTAAAATAAATCTCTTCTTATATACTAGTATTGCATTTCTTCAAATTCAGTACTTCAAAAAATTATTTGTTACAGAACTAGAGAGAGCAAGAGAAAGAGGGTGAGAGGTCAATTTTCGTCTGGATTATTTTGCCCAGAGACATGTTGTTTTTTAATATTTTCCCCAAAATATAGATTTAAGTTTTCTTTAATTTCGTTAAAAAATTTCAGTCTTAAATCCAAATATTTTCTCTATCCTAATAATATGACTTTATGTTTCGGAGATTTCTTTTATATGTATTTTGTGTTTCTTTTGTCTGTGATGCATTGCACCATTTCTCTCTAATCTCTTTTGAGTCTATTAACAACTAACTTACTTAGTTTGTATTTTTCACTTCAGCCCAAGCTAGTTTCTCATATTTTTAGTGGTTTCTCTTCCTCTGTATTACTTGTAATTACTCTTTCATTCTTATACTAGTTTTGCTTTTTTCCATTACACTTTTTTACATGACACTTTTCTGGTTGAGCACTTGAGCTGACAATTCCACTCTTGTTCTTGTTTGGCTCACTTCTCCCTTCCACCTTGCATTTCTGCATTTTACAGTTGCTTCGAAAACATGATTGCTCTTCATTACGTTTGGAAATCCATGCTGGAATGTTTGGTTATGACGTTTGACATCCTTTATGGCAGTATGTTTTTTAGCTTGTGGTCTCTGGGTACCTTGGTCTTTCCCAACCACCAGCATGCTATCTTTATGTACACCTTATGCTGGATCAGTTTCCCTTTTTTGTCACAGAGTAAAGTGAATGGGGTGGGGGTGGGGGGTGAGCCAATGAAGATGGAAATGTGGATTTTGTTTTTGGTTCTATTTTTTCTGTTTTGTTATTACTATTTTAGAATAAAAAACTTCTCTGCTTTTACAGATACAGACTGATTTCTGTAATTTTTCTTTTCTGTATAGTTCCACTTTTAGCCTCACTGTATCTTTGGAACCAGACTTTTTCCACAGCAGCTTCTACCTGAAGCTGTTACATCATGTCTAAAATTAGAACAAAGCAGGTACCCCAGCCTTCTAGAACACTGCATCTGTACTGTTTGATAGGCAGCTTCTAGACTATTTCTTCCAAGTTTCTTTTCTGTTTCCTCTGGCAATCCTTGTGTTAAGTCATCACTGTTTTGTGAACCAGTTCATTAAAATTTGGGGGTCCCAGCATTTTATTTCCTATTTTCACTAGATAGGGCAGTTGCATAATTGTTTCTCGCTGTCTGTCTTGGGATGATTTCCAGGAATAAAAAGAGAAAACATAGCACTGGAAACATCAAGTTTCTTATTTTTTTTTTTTTTTGCATTCTTGAATTGTAGTAAACTTTTCTTGGTTTAAAAAAATTAGAAAATGATGAAAAAATCACAAAAAGTACTTATAAGTAAATGTGTACTACTTCTCTGCCATTATAGAGGTTTACAGCAGATTCTTTGCAAATTTTGGAGAGTTCCTTACATTCATAATTTCTGTTTCCTCAGAAAAATTTGAATCTCTTGGTCATTTAAATCATGATAGCACTGTTATGTTGTTTAAAAGTTGTTTTATTGTGAGTACATTTGGGTGCCTGTGAAAGTGGTATTCTGTGCTGTATCATTAAATTATGTTCCTACTTATTAGGAGAAAAGCTGACACATTCTAAATAATACTACTCTGAAGACACTATTAGCTCTCATCTTCCCACATTCAAGTTTTAGACTTTGATTCTTTCAAATAACATAGGTGAACTTAATGGAAAATATAACTGTGGAACGTGGAAAAGAGTGTTCAAATACAACACATTTCTCTGAGTTACAAGAACGTACTGTAGTGAAGGTCTGAGGCAATTTCCAAACTACGCATAAAATAACTTTTATAGATGTGTTGTGTCCCTTGAAAAATCTGTCAGTATTGCTATAGTCTAGGCAATGATGAATTTGTTTTAATAAACAGCTTAAGTGGTAGATTACTTTGTGTTTCATGTTCCAGTTGTTTTGAATTCATAACATCTACTTTTCAAAATTAAGAACAGTTTAAAAATGAATAAAACAGGGGAGAGGGAGTGGATAAGGGGAGGGTTGCGGGTTGGAGGGACATTATGGGGGGGAAGCCATTGTAATCAATATTCTGTACTTTGGAAATTTATATTCATTAAATAAAAGTTAAAAAAATGAATAAAACAGGTTAAAAGATTTAGAATTTTATTGTTACTGCCCTTTTTCTATATTATCATATTCCATATAGAAAGTATACAAATTATAAAGTAAACTTATTATTTAGTAACATTAATGATAATTAATAGAAATGCCAAGAAAGACATGAAAATAAACATTCTAATATATTAAAATAAGACAAAAATCAGGAATTTAATAAAACAATGTAAGAGAAAGATATTTTATAATTAATCAAGGCTCCAGGGAAAAGTTTTCAATATTAAAAATGTTAAAGAAAAGAAAAGTTCATTTTTTTTATTTTTGTTTGACAGAGTTAGACAGTGAGGGAGAGACAGAGACAAAGGTCTTCCATCTGCTGGTTCACCCCCCAAATGGCCGCTATGACCGGAGCTACGCTGATGGAAGCCAGGAGCCAGGTGCTTCTTCTGGTCTCCCATGCGAGTGCAGGGCCCAAGCACCTGGGCCATCCTCTACTGCACTCCCAGGCCACAGCAGAGAGCTGGACTGGAAGAGGAGCAATCGGGACTAGAACCTGGCGCCCAAATGGGATGCCGGCGCCGCAGTCAAAGGGTTAACCAAGTGAGCCACGGCATCGGCCCCAGTAATTCATGTTTTATCTGAGTATTTTATTTCATGTTAAGGAATTAAGAAAACTAAATTTCCTTTATCCTTTTCAAAATGTTTATTTATTTATTTATTTGAAAGATAAAGTTTTAGAGGCGGAGAGTGAGTGAGAGAGAAAGAGAGATCGATCTTCCATCAGCTGGTTTCATTCCCCAAATGGCCACAACAGTCTGAGTTGGGCCGATCTGAGACCAGAAGCCAGGAGCTTCTTCCAGGTCTCCCATATGGTTGAGGGGCCCAAGGACTTCAGCCATCTTCTACTGTTTTCTTGGGGGGGGGGGGAGGTCATAGCAGAGAGTTGGATTGAAAGTGGAGCAGCTGGGATCAAACCTGTGGCCATATGGGATGCCAGGACTGCAGATGGTGGTTTTACCCACTAAGCCACAGCACTGACCCCTGCTGTCTTCTGAATTCCAGTTGGGGGTAGTAACAAACCATGTTTCCATCTTTCTGTGTGCTTTAAAACCACTTCGATATCATGCCTGCCTTTACCTTTCTTCTATTTCTTTAGGCATTTTTGGTCATTTACCCAATTTTCTCCTTCTTGTCTTCCTACATTATAGATTTAATATAGCATTATTTAAATATAATATGAATAACCTAACTTTACTTTTTTATTTTATTTATTTTCATTAAGATTCATTTTTAAGAGGAGTTATACTTTTATTTATTTTTTTTTACTTTAAGTTTTTTTATAATTGTAAAGAGAACAGATTACAA